TATATATGCATACACACAGATGACACGCGTACACACACGCGCACACATGTACATTTATACCTGCCGTTGGATCTGCGTGTGCGTGGCAAAATAACGGAATCCGGTGTGAACGCGCGCGTGAGCGAGTGTGTGCGTGCGTGCGCGTGCGAGTGCGTCTCTCGTCTGCGTGTGGAGAAATGTATATACGCGTGTTGTGTATAGCTATAAATTTACTTCTATAAACGGATACGTATATACACGTATATATATATGTAGATATGCCCCATCCATCTATATGTACGTGTGTATGTATGTATATATATACGTATATCATTACGGCGGGATTCTCTGTGCATGCTTTTACACACTGTTTTCTCTATCCTCTTACAAATACCTTTTGCCACGTCTTACGTCACCGTAACCAGCGATCTTAATCTTACATTCTCACGCGTCTCTCTTGCGCTGTTTGTTTTAACCTGTATCGCAGTACACGTGTAAATGGAAATATTAGCAACAAAATACGGACACGCGTGTGTGTTGCGATCTCTTACGTAAGCGATCGATGGATCGGACACGAGCGTCACACCGGTTCGGTAGCAAGGCGAGTTACGTAACGCGGATCGTTTTCGATGGTAACCGTGATTATTCTTGAACTTTCGTCGTGATTGTCTCAAGAGAAGCACACGTTTGCTCGTGATACGACGTCGATGATCGAACAATGCAAGGATTTTGTTGCTAACGTCACGGTCCGTTTACCATCTTTCAAAACTGTTGGCGCTCGATCTTGCAGACGCATCATCGTTATCGTCGTCGTTGTCTTCGTCTTCGTCGTCGTCGTATTCGTCGTCTTCGTCGTTGTCTTCGTCGTCCTGGTCGTCATCGTCGTTACGTTCGTATTAAATTCGTTGTTCGGCAAATGGCAAAGGATGTAGACAAAGTTTCTTTACTCTATAGCAACGTTGAACCTCGATTAATCTCCACGCGCATCTCGCGTGTGTGCGTCGACATGTACGAGGCATAAACGCCGATAAAGGAAAGTAACAGCTGAACTTTTTGACAAACTCGAACCACTTTTCTCTCCGAATATTGGCACTCGTCTTGAGCGAGTATTGCATTTACAAGCAGCTCCCTTCGCCAGGGTTCTTCCGCTTGCGTTGTTCTTTTAAACGGTACTCCCTTTTACTTTTCGTGCCCCGTTTTTACCCTCCGGTTTTCTCTCTTTCTTTTTTATCTCTTACTCTTTGTTCCCTTTTCTATGCGTTTTCTCGTTATTTTTTCCCTTTTCTCGTTTTCTTTTCTTTTTCCTTAAATATCTTTTCCTCTCGATGTTGGTTTGTTCTCTTCGGTTGTGTGACCACGTGTTGTGCCTAGCTTTGCGTTTTGAATTGTTACTCTTGACAATGAGATGAGATCGTAGGTGTGCGTTTTTTTCTCTTTTTTTTTTTTTAATCTTTTCCATTCTTTTTTTTCCCCTGTTGTTTTCTTCCTTTACGTGACATGAACGTTTTATATTTTGTTTTTTTTTTATTTATATATATATTTATATATATTTATACATATCTTTGGTTACGAGTAGGCATATCTAGACATGTTACATGCGTAAATATTCTATACGAGTGTGGTGTTTCGTAATGATATCATCGTAATATTGATTTGAGAACGTAATTAATTGAGAGAATCCCCTCTTTTCTGCAACCTCTTTGACTTGATCGTAGAGTGTGACTATATGAGAGGTATATACACGTTTATATTCTCCATATATAGATATCTATATATCTTATCATGAGTCTGGTAGAGATTGTCGGTAATGATAACTAGTGACCTAAGGAAAGCTAATTGAAACGGGATCTTGTAATTCCAGGAACAGCAGGAACTTGCAAAAAAGAGAAGGATATAAATAAAGAGAGCCAGTCGAAGCTAGAACACTCCAACCTCGGTACGGAGTGTTGTAAGCTTTGCGGCAAGAGCGTAGCGAACATAAAAAAGCACATGAAATCGCATTTCCCAGATAAATATCAGTGCCAAATCTGCATGATATCGTTAACGAGATCCGACAATTTGAAAAGGCATATTAAATTGAAGCACGGGATACGAGAGGGATCATTGATATCGCCGTTCATGCGCTTAGAGCACAAACACTTTTTAGCGAAATCGGAACCGCCTTACCTCACCTAGAGTTTCACGCGTACGCGCGCGAAATTCGAACGACGGAGAGTGAGAAGGGAAGACGAGTGCGCGCGCGCGTGCACGCCGAGTTCAGCTAGCTATCTATATACGTGCACGCTCGCGAATCGAAGAGATTACGCGCGATATGGCGCGCGGAGAGGAAGCTGAACCCGAGATACGTCGCGTGAACGACCGCGCGTTGCTCGCGTATTCGAACCCCGCTCTTCGTCGCAGCTGTAATCCCGTCAAGATCGATCGCTTTCTCGAAAATCCTCGAGCGAACGCCGCGACTCGTCGCTCGATTATCTTAATCGTGTTCTGCCTGTTTGAAATTATTCTCGGTAAGGAAGAATCTATTTATCGTACGTCTATATTTTAATACATAAGGAGCCCTATTATTTAATAAGATACGCAAGCGTTCGTATTAGATCCGGCCGTTCTTCGGGGAACGGCATTATTTTCCAATACCAGTGTTCGTAGAATCGATCGCTCTAGTGGATCTCACGACGTTCGCACAGTCAATTCGAGTACAAAGTGAAGTACAAGCTATAAAGTGTCTCTGATATCGTGTTCGTATAGATACTACCTCTCGCGCGTGCGTCGTCGCTCATCGTTCGTCGTGTACACGTGTACACGCGAGGACCTTTAAGCTTTCCCTCTCGAGCATGCGAAATAATCAGTGTCTCCGAGTGCGTTTACGTTTCCGGAAACAGTCGGAGAAGGTTTTCCCATCTCGGCATCCACAGAGCCTTGCCCCCCTCCCCCCGCCCCCGCCCTCGCGACCCGCGGAAAAACCCCGTGGAAAATTTACCGTCACCGACGCTCTTCCTTATGCACACGCGGTCACCGCGCATGGAACTGCGAGTTGTAGCTCTGCGAGTCTCATTTCCGCCGACTGAATTTCACCTGGGCCAGAGAAACCCCGAGATATTGCCTTTGATTAGATTTGCATAAGAGCGATACTTTGGCCGGCAAAACGGCGTGCTCGCGCGCCGGGCCTTCCTTTTACCAGCGGCGAGGATGATTTCCAAACCGCGGGGAAATTCTGCTGGAAATTGCTCTCGTAACACGCGTCGGTTAACGAAACGGCGGCTCGTCTAGGGTATTTCATCCAGTTCCATGCCGTGCCCGCTGTGCCACACCGTTCTACACGCAACTTTGTATCTCGTAATGGCAGCCTTGTTCCGCAGGTGGAGAGAGGAGATCAGTATTAAGTAACTATTTATACACTTATTTATAGATCCTATATTATATTATATTTATATTTATACATACATCGTAGGTTGTGAAAGACGTCGAAGACTGAGTATACGAAAGAGAGGAAAAAAAAAGAAAAGAAAAAAAAATATAGAAAATGAGAAAGGAAAAGGGGAGAGGAAAAAAAAAAAGAAAGAAGTTATGAGAAAGAGAAGGAAACGCTGATTCTCGTGGGCCGGCGTGGCTCGATAAAATAGTCATGATGAACTAGTCTCTGAGGCCCGAAGGCTGTTGCAAAGAACAGACTTTTCTATAGAGGATTTTTTATGGTGCCTTCCCATTTAAAGTACAATATACTCGACTAATCGATTAATCGATAACGGATATAATAAACAGCTATGATATCGCCGTGTGTAAAATGTAACGTGCGACCGGTTTCTTCTATCGACAGTGCATGACATCTAATAATCGAGCATCGATCTTTCCCCGTGCTCGCGTGCCAGCCTGTGCACGGACACACGGTGAGACGAGTACACACGGATACGTACGGAACGTACATACATGCGTACACACATACATACACACGGATACGCACAGACACACAAGACACCTATGCCGCTGCCTATGTAACCCTTCCCTAGCAGAGTGAATCTGATCAAAGCGAAAAGAAAAAGAGCTCGGGGGTAACGGAGTGAGGCGGTCTCTCCGGATCGAATCACGTCGATGGCCGTTTTTCACACACGACTTTTCTCTATTTGCAGATACGACACTTTTAACCCCTCAGGGCACTGAGTGCGCGCCGATTACGTACATTGAGAAAGTTAATCTGTCGGACTTTTTCGAAAAGCTGCCGTACACGTATACTAGCAAATGCAAACTATGCGGTCGGGTCGTGTCGAATCTAAAGAATCATTACTTGACGCACAATCCAGGCAATTACGTGTGCCCGCTCTGCGGCTGTCGTAGGACCCGGCTGGATAACTTGAAGGGTCACATTAAACAGAAACACCCCGAGATACAGATACTGCAGAAGTCCAGCGGCACCGTGCAGACTTGAACACCGTGCCGGAGTCTTGCCATTCTCCCCTCTGTACGCGGGGTGTTGTCGAGCGTTCGAGCATTTACGATGTCAGGTCTGATTCGTTGAGATCACCAGTTCGCTATTACCCGAATTCGATATCTATACCCGACACTCTCGCGAGGAACCACATCCTCCATATCCGTTACAGTAGAACGTCGATTATCCGGGCACGATGATTTTCTAACCGCATACGGATTACACGCAGGTGCATCAGCCTGATCACGATCACACTCGCCGACTACTGTGTCACCTGTATCACTGTACAGTAAACGCAAACGAAATATAATTTATACTAAAACCAGTTGTGCTGAATAACTTCATTTCCAATACTCTTTGTCTGGAAATTCTGCCAATCGGACACGGATAACCAACCTTCTACTGTAGCACGAACGAAACATATCCCTACCGTCGAATTTCCCTATCTTCTATCGTTCTTTCTACCAGACTCTCCATTTCCGTTTCCGAGAATCTTCTTGCTCGTAGACATGCCCCGAGCACTTGCAATATTCACCGTATCGCGTGATACCACGGAAAGTGCATTTAATTTTTCAGTCATCTCAGCGAGCCCCGTTGCCGTTCTAAATCCTCGAACGCTCGTTGTTCCCACTTAGCACCCGTTTCCCGCGAGTGGCGCCTCGCGCGGTCTAAGGTCGTTCCGTCTTTCCGGTTCCTCCGTGTCTCGTCGGTCAACGTCAAGAACCGTTCCGCCGACCCGTTCTTTCGTTCGATAGGCTCTTAACCCCTCGACAACGGCGTTGCGCGCCGGGCGTTCCCGCTCGGAAACGGTGATATGCTAGTCACGCAAGATGGTAGAAAGTATACGAGACTTTAACGACGGGACGGGACGAGAGGAAACGCGGCGTATCGGCTCGTAATTCTGTACTTATCAAGCCGGACGGATCGCGCTGCGAAATTCGCACAGACCCACCCCGCGTATCGCTCGCAACCATGTTCGCAGTCGCGAGTATCGACGTCGGCATCGTATATCGTGATGGATAAGCGGATTTTGCGATTGACGACCGGTCCACGCGCGTTGTATATTCGTCGATCGTCCAAGATCGGCTCTGCCGTGTGTCTGTAACCGAAAGCTGCGAACGATAAAAGGAAAAGTCGTTCACGGATAGGGGATGAGAGATAGGGGTGTACATCCGTGCGGTATTAATTATCCATCATTCGCTAGTGAAGAGACACGTTGTCACGTCTCTCCGGTACACGGAGCCGTTTCTCGCGTCGCAACTCTGTCGACCTTTAACAGGCTGGGAATCGGTGGGTTTCCATCCGTTAGCGGAGCAACGCTTGGCAGAAGCGAAATGGAAATTAGTATTACGCGGTTTCCCCTGTTGGACCGGTTGCAGCTAGCTTCTCGGTCAAAGGGTGCCTCACGGTTAGGGGTAAAAAGCGTCTCGGCGTCGGTCCATCGGTTCCGCCAGCTGTTGCATTTCGTTACATCGCGCTGTCTTCGTTAGCGTAATTATTCTTCTTGCACCGTTCTGCGACCGATCGATCCATCTCCTTCGCCATTTCCGTCGTTTTATTTTTCCAACCTCGGCGCTGTCGCCTGGCCGGTTGGTTAACTATGCAGGTCGAGTCGCTGTAAATTGGCAGCTTAAATAACTTCTTTGTCCTTGCTCCTTTGCAGAAAGTATCCTCATAATTGCCGCGTTTGTTAGGGGTTGTTCCGCACTCGTCTTAATTCGGTTAAGCGCTGCCGTCTCTTCTCCGCCTAACCTCTCGCGGTTAAGCAAATTCCGATCGCTAACTTTGCCGCAAGAATATCGGAAGGACAGAGTTTTCCGTCGTTTATTCGGGTAATTGGACCACGGTATCGAGTTTGTCACGGAATTCGTAAACTCACAGCCGGCGAAACGTTTGACAGCCTGTGGCGTGTGAATTTTTTCCAACTAGAAATTCCTCTTAGGACCACGAGCTAGACCGAAGCACGATGCTGTCAAAAGTTCATGAATTTTTACTTCGTCCCAGGTTACCGAAGTTTCCTTGCCAGCTTCGACCGCTGGCCCACTGATAAAAGAGAAACTGTCCGCCTGCAAAAATTCTTCTACAATTTTCCTGTCCAAGAAGATAGAAAATATTCCATGCTCTCGTCATTTATATTTCGCCATACCACGCAAACGCGTGTCAAACCTATTCTTAATAGCGCAGCACGTTGACAAGATTCCTCTAAAAACCAGAACGTCTGAACGTCTAATCAAACTTTGACTGCAAACAGCGAGAAAGTATTTCCAGTTCGATCTACACAGCTCTGAAAATAAATCTGAAAGCATCCATCCAGCTTACAGAGATCTCGTCCCGCGTTTAAAATTCCGTAGCCCAAATGCTCGTTGATCGACGCCGGAGTCAACTCGAAGGTTTCATCGGTTATCTGTCAGCGCGATGCTCATCTCCCGCAAACGCTGACCGAAAGCTAGTGATTCGATCTCGCGACACGAATTTTCACCGCGATTCCAAGTGCGTCCAGTTGACAGTGCACGTTAACAAACGAGGGTGGCTAACAAAATCCTCTTACATCCGGAATCCTTCGCGACGAGCGTGGCTGATAGGGTGCACGCTCCGAGATCCTACTCCAGCCTGGCCCTAATTGCTGCCAATTAACCCGTCTTCGTTCTCTTCGGTCTGTCGTCGATTTTCTTGCCTACTCTCTGTCACGCTATTCTTCCTCGCTATTCGTCCCGCTCGATACCGCTTCACGATACTAGCATTCGGGGTCCGTTCATCGATCTCGGGCAAAGCGGCTTCGAAACGGCGGTGCATTGTACCTGCGAACTATGACAGTTCTCGGAGCGATCGGTTGTTTAATATTCTCGGGTATGGCGAGACCGGGGGGCCTAGTTAGACCAGAGGCAAGAGCGGAGGGGTGACACGGTAGACGAAGAAACTCGCGACAAGAGGAGGAGGTCCTTCTGGCGATAAGCAGCTTAGAGGTATATCTTTTCTCGCCCTTATTACAGGGCCGTACTTCACGGATGAACGGTCGCGGTAGGAGTCGATCACCATCTAGCCTCTTTCCCCATTCTTCTAGACTCGCGAGCCACCCATCGAAAATACCACGACGGAACACAGTCGAATAGATTCTCGCTTTGCCGAACTCTTCTATCAAGAGTGGTTCGCCACTCGTTTCACAGTCCACGCTTTCAGTGACAGGGAGTAGCCGCTGTGTCACGCTGTGGGTCCTTCGAACGCTTGTTTCTCGAGGCATTAACACTTTGACTGCCATACGCACTGTTTATACGGTACACTCGGGGGGTCAGGATCAAATTTCCATTATTCTTACGGCAAAACGATGAATTGTCAAACAATGTCGCAGAGAAAGAGAAAATAGTGCAAATTATTAATGTCTTCTGTCAAAGTTCTCTATGCATTTACGTTCTTCAAAGTTTCAAAAAATGGTTAGAGTAAAAGAAACTTAAATTGGACACCGGTGACCACCTTGGCCTCACTGAGGAGGCAAGCGTCGGTCACTGATGACCACCATGGCAGTCAACGCGTTAACAATGGCGCTTGCACCGCTGCAGCGGCCACGCTCGACCTCGGACTCCTGGAGACCACTTCCGTGAAAGTTGCCGCGCTTACGTCACCACCTGCAAACTTTCGCGGACTTTCCTCGCGATTTTTCTCAAAGCCACCGCCCCGTGAAAGCGTCCTCCGTTGAACGAATCATTCTGGTACCGAGCCCGATCGAAAACTATCGCGGCTTATGTCGGCGCCGCCTGTTGAAGGGATAACCCTGGGTTTAATCGGAACGAGGAACATAGTTGGCGGGATATCGTTTCGTTGCGATTCGAAAGCGTGCGTCGATGGTGATTTAGATAGACTTAATGCAATATTTAACGACGGCTAATCTCTTTAAAATACCGCGTCATATTTGGAACGAGAATTATTCAAATAGCCTGGCATTACTCGCGCGCCCGTAGTATTTGGCGTGCCCGTTTGTCCAAACGAAATGTTTGCGCGCTAGAACGCCCGGATAATGCGAGATTCGGATTTAAACGCGCGATCCAAATCCTCGGAGTAACGCTTGTCTTCTTTAGCTCTGTCATTATGACCACGTGGCCCGGGCAGCAGCGTGGAAATTGTATCGCACGGGGTGCCCCATAAATCTCGCGATATTGGCTGAAAGAAAACGATTCTTCATTGCAGATTAAATCGCGAACGTAACGATTTTCATCAGCTGAAACGGTCGCAACGTATCGCGGTAATTAAGATACTGCGAGTATATTTTACGGATAATTTTACGGATAATTCCACGGATTATTCTACGAGACTCCTTAATTAAGCAGAGTACTATATTTAATAAGATCAAACATTGCAAGTATTTTATAACGAATTGTAAGGATCACTGTAATCGATTCCCAACCAACGATTCTTAATATTAAGCAGAGCACTTTATTTAATAAAAGCAAATTTTCGAAATAACCCGAGTTTCGACGAGCCTTGGAAATCGAACGTTCGTCCAATCGTGGTTCCACCTGAATCTCGTCCAATTTGTTATTCCCTAACACGAACATTCGCCCCGAAAGTATTTCATTTCTCCCCTCTCTCTCTCCTCTCCTTCTTATTTCTTCAATTTTCTCTATTTTTCATTTATCCCCGCACACGGGGATCATCGCGAAACGCATCGTCCGAATTATTACGTTTAAACCTCGTTCCTTCGCTGTGCTACCCCTTTTGTTTGCATTCGTCCGATGCCCGGAGCGTGTCATTATTTTCGTTCTGGAAGGTTGCGCGATCAATCAACGTTAGTTATTGGCTCTATCCAGCGCGCGATATTCCTCTGATTCAGACCTAGGCGAACCGATACGTTATGCGAGGCGAGAGCGACACGCGAATGCGTCGGTCCGTCGGGAATTTACGGATTCCGGGCACAGGGGAGGGTGAAATTATTTTTAACCTATCGCCGTCCATTTCGAGTTTCGCACTAGATAAAACAAGGAACGGCGCCGCGGCCGGATGTTTTGCGGGCATTAAAAATGAATCGGTTGCCAGGAAAGCTTTTAAGCGAAAATTCTCCGTTGAGCAGAGAGGTCCCTGGAAGTTGGATGAGCCGGGTCCGGCCGAGCCCGGGTGATTCGTCTGTACCGGTGTACCCTAAGCGTCTCTCGCGACACCCCAAAACCCGAATTGTCCCACGATCGTTGGAATTTTCCTCCCTCTTTTCCCTCCACGGGCCAATAATCGTCTCTACGGTCGCTGCGGATCTTTTCACGCGAGCATCACCTGGCCGGAGGACTATTCTATGGGGTTGGTACGTACGGGGGTTGGTCGCCGAGTCGTCGGGCGAATCGTCGCCGGGAGAGAGAAAACTGGCGTCCCGAAGCAGTTTCTATGACAGTTGCACGGTTGTTCCGTTGAATCCGCACACATGTATCACGACGACTGGGCACCCCTGCACACACACACACGCACGCATACGCAAACACGGTCGTCCGTGTACGAATGCACTGGCAGAGTAGAGAGACGCGAGATGAGAGAGAGAGAGAGTGAGAGAGAGAGAGAAAAGCTGAGAGATATAGCGGCACTTGCCAGCCTTCTTTATCCTAGTTTCTGCCATCCTTACACCCTTCGCTGTGTTCTCTCTCTCTCTCTCTCTTTCTCTCTCTCGCATTGTACTCTAATTCCGCAGAGCGCAGTTGCCGAGAAATATAACCCGGTGATCGATGTCGGCGTATGCAAATGTCGGGGGTTTCGCTCTCGCGAAGATCGTCGTCCCGTTGCGTTAGAGCACCGAAAAGGGATCCCTTGGCTCTCCGCGTTCCCTCTTATTTTTCTTTCTCTTTTCACCCCCTCCTGCCCCCGTTTGCACGCGCTAATCAACCTCCCCACTCGGTGTTCCCTCTTTCTCACGCTCTGTCTCTCGCTCTCTCTCTTTCTCTCTCTTTCTCTCTCTCTGTTACAGTGTATGGCCAGTAGTGGTGTCTCACTGAGAAGAGAGA